GCAATTTTGCGTGCCGATGCGCCGTGTAGGCGCCTGGCTTCTGTCTGTCTGTCCGTATGCCCTACCAATCAATGCTTTCCGCCACCAAGACAGACAAGTCTGTCTAGCCCCCGACGCAAAAATGTATACCCCTGCGTGTGTTCACAAACATGCATTGTATTTGTTGAATGCGCGCGCGCTCGCGCACAACCGCGAAAACCTACGCAGGGCAATTGTGGAAGGCAGGGTACATGCTTAGAACACACAACAACTTACAATCGAAATGTCAATGTCCATGTGCTTCAGGCACCTACCCGTGGAGAGGATGTACATGTCCATGTGCGACCGAATCGACAACAACACACGCTATTCGACCCAAGCGCCGCAGACGCGCAATTGGAAAACATACCTTGCACGATCTCTCCTGCCAATGGTCGCATTGGACACCGAAGCCCTTCATACCGAAACCAATGGCGCTGCATGTTGAAGAAGGGCCGACCGTCCCGCCATAGGCCCACCACGAAATGTGCTTAGAACACGGAAATGTTCTACTAACAAAAAACAAGGTTCTTAGAACAACAGCCCGAGGTGTTCAAACAAGACAGTCTCGGCCACAGATGTTCTAAGAACTTTTCGTGCTGACCACAAGCGGTTCCTAGAAAATTCTTTGCCAAGGCTTCGCCACTGCTTGAGCAATGTCTACCGATAGATACACAAGCTTCAGGCTGTGTTAGCCTGTCTGACGCCTTCGGGGACTGTCTTTAGAGCCTCTGTGCGCAGCCTCTTGGGGCGCTTTCGTACCGCCACGAAAATACAGAAGCCACTTTGAGGCAATCTCCACGGCCTCTTGGGCTGCTCTGGGGTCCGTCTTGGAGGCATCTGGGATCGCCTTGGGTTGTCGGGGGCCCCATAAAACGGAGACACAAGAAAACCGATTATGCTCACTTCGCTGGGTCTCTTGGAAGGAAGGCCTCTTGAATTACAATTGCATCGGGTAACGCTTGGGCCATCTCAGGGCTGTCTTTGCCCGTGTGGCTCTGGAGGCCATCTCGGGGGCCTCTCTGGGCGAGCTTGAGATGCTCATCTGGCGCTTTCGTGCCGTCATGGGAATTTCTTCGAGCGTCTCCAAATCTGCTATGGGCCTTCTTGAAAGCCTCCTGGGCTTTCTTGGGGCCTCTTGGGGCGACTCGGAAACCTCTAAAACCGCCTGCGGCGATTGGAAGCCTGGCAAAAACGGGAACGCGAAAACACATTGAAAACCCATTGAATATCACAGGAATTCACTGTTTTGGGCCTTCTGGGAGCTACTTAGATGGCCTCTTGGCTTGTATGTGGGCCCCTTGGGCCATACTAGGGCTATCCAAGACTGCCCGACGCCTTTGGACTTCAGCTTAGGAACCTCAGTGGGCCGCCTTAGGGTCATCTTCGGGCGCCTTCGTGCCGTCATGGGTTTCTCTGGGGCCGAATTGAAGCCCTCGTGTTGGGATATTATTCCGGGCCTCTTTGGCTGTCTTCGAAGACTCTGGGGCCATCGTGGAGGCCCTGTGGACACTGGAAACTTCTTGGGTTGCTGGACGCCCGAAAAGGCGGAGGTGCGACACACATTGAGAGATCAGAAATCAACGATGTCCAATTCTTCGGGCATCCTGGAAGGGCTCCTGGGCTGTCGGGGGGCCTTTGTGCAACCTTGAGGCTGCCGTGGCCCGTCTGACGCCTTTGGGGGGTTGGCCCAGGGGCCTCTCTGGGCCGTTTGGGGGCCCTTCTCGGGCGCTTGCGCACCATCGTGGGAACTCCTTGGCGCGTCTTGAGGCCCTCTGCAGCCTAGAACGCCACGGCACCACACGCGAACCGGCACGGCACCGCCGGCGGCACCCTCTTGGCAACCACGGCATGGCGCACGGGCACGGCAAGGCACACGGGCAGCACACTCTTCGCACTTTACAAACGACCGTGCAAGGACGGCACGGCACGCAGGCGGCACACCTTCCGTTCCCGAGCGCTGGCAAGGCGCGGCGCGCGCGCGGGTGGGGGGCATGTCTTGGCACTTTGGGATCCCCCAAAGCGTTTTGCCTGTCCTTGCGCAGTTGCAACCTCAGTCACAATTTAGGGAAGCGTTCCATGTCCAATGATATTATTGTGGCGGTGGGCGTGTGGATTCTCGACTTCCGACTCCAACACCTACTCTGTTACCGCTTCTTTGGCGACATCAGAATCGAGTCTCCATGTAGTGATAACGTATCTGGACAATTTGCCCTTCGAATATAAGCTTTTGCGAGGCACTCACATCGGACACGCTTGCTTTCGCTATCCTCATACGAAAAAGGCTTAGTGACTCTCCGCGTGCTCGGGTTGGGAGGGGGGCCGCAAGCCAATCCCATCTGCATTACTGCAACATAATTTCTCTTGTCGCGCCCACATCATCTTCTGACAACGCTGGCACCGCGACAAGACAGGCCACCACGTCGCCACAGGGCTCTCGACCCAACTGGGTGCTGCCTTGCGCTATGGCATCGAAGACGCATCATTAAGCCCGTGAACGCTTTTTTAATCTCCGCCGAGATCGGACCATCGTGCTGCTCTTCGAACGGTCATAAAACGCACCCGCCCCGTGACAGCCGTACCGTTAAGTCGGGCCTGCCCCCTACGGGCGGATTTTGGAGGAAAAATGCCAAATAACCAAAAATGCACCCAAATGGTCAAACGCCTAAAAGCAAATCGTCCCCGGATTATTTAAGCGCTTCGCTCATTCCGCCGGCCCTGGAGCGCTATTTGGGGCCTCTTGGGGCCGTCTTGGGGGCTTCTTGGGGGCTTCTTGGGAGCGTCTTGGGGCTCCTTGGCGGCGTATTTTGCTCCCCTGGGGCCTCTTGGGGGGCTCTTGGGGGCCCCTTGGGGCGGGAGGTGGGGTAGTCGTTGGCAGCCCTCCCCTCGGAGGCCACGATTCTCGTGAGGGGTGGCGAAAAATAGCCTCCCCCCTGGGGACCGCCTGGGGGTCAGCTGGGGATCGGCCGGGGTACTTTTCGTCCGGGGCCCCCCAGGGGCCGCCCCGCACGCGCACTAGAAATGTTGTGAAGTAGTTACCGGAGATCTTAGCACGCCTCTGGCCCGCTGGGCCGGCGAACTTTTTGACCGTTTTTGAACCCTCCCCGTGTAGAGGGACACGCCCGACTTAACCGTACCGCCTGGGCCCACCTCGCAACAGGAGCACCCAGACCCCCGACGTCATGATTTTTTCATGACGCGACCCCCAGAGGTCCGGACCCCTTCCCCGGGACCGGCTTTTCATCCTGAGTCGTTTTTTGACGGTCCTGAGGGCCGGTGAGGGTCACCGGAGGCCGAAAATAGCGAGAAACCTCTCGTCGTGATTTTTTCATTGCTCGAGGGGGTCTGGGCACCGAGGTGAGCGCTGCTTTCTACTCTCGGCCGAGGTCGGAGCCTCCGCCGCCCTGCCCGGCGAGCGGCGCGCAGGCCGTGCCGCCCGGGCCCACGCGGCAGCAGGAGCCCCGCGCGGCGGGGCCGAGCACGATGGCAATGCGGGCCTACCGACGGGGGGTGCAGAGTCCGATCAGCTGGCTGCGCTCTGCGTGCACCCTGCGAAATGCTTAAGACATCATGGGTTAAGACACTCATAGTCTCAGATCTTGATTACAAATATGAAAATCTTGGGATTTGCATTGAAGCATTAAGAATCATCGAGACTCTGGGCGAAAACTCAAGTCTTCTCGAGCATCGCCTAGGGTGTAGGAGCTGGAAGCGCTGGAAAGTGCGGCCGTGCACAGCCCCAAAGGGGGACCGCGGAGGAAAACAGCCAGGGTCCGAGCGGAAGTGCAGCCGTGCACTGTGCTGGCGTTCCCCTCGTGTACGTTGGTGAGGGGCAGCGATCGAGGGGGACTGGCATGGGAGGGGGAACATCGACCTGGATTCGGCGATAGATCGCCGATCGATCGGCGATAGGCCCCCGATAGCGAATCCGCACGTTCTTGGGCTGGGTGGGGCTATCAGACCCCCATCGGCGATCCATTGGCGATTGGGGGTCGATGCATCCCCCCTATACCTGTCCCCCACTATCGTTGCCCCTGAGTTGGCACCCGGTGGAAATCAACACATACTGCGCAAGAGGCGACTCGACAGCTCCGCGGTCGCGGACACCCTAAGGCGTGAGGTGAGAGAGCCATCGCGCGGGCTGCGCCGCGGGCACCGGGCTGCGGAAGCGCCGCCCGCGGCCTTGAAACTGCCAGGGCAAGGCTGGACCTCTCCGCGCCCCTCTCCAACCCCGGTGCTCCTGCCTCTCCTCTTCCTCCTCCTCCTCCTCCTCCTCGCCCTCCTCGTTGTCCTCCTCCTCGTCCTCTTCCTCCTCTTCTTCTTCCTCCTCCTCCTCCTCCTCCTCCTCCTCCTCCTCCAAGTCCACTTCCTCTACCTCTTCCTCTTCCTATTCCTGCTCTTCCTCTTCCTTTTCCTCCTCCTCTTCCTCCTCCTCGTCCTCTTCCTCCTCCTCGTCCTCGTCCTCCTCGTCCTCGTCCTCCTCTTCTTCCTCCTCCTCCTCTTCCTCTTCCTGTTCCTTCTCCTCCTCCTCATCCTCCTCCTCGTGCTCCCCCTCGTCCTCCTCCGTCTCCTCCTCCTCCTCCTCCTGTTCTTTCTTCTTCTTCCTCCTCCTCGTCCTCCGCTCGTCCTCCTCCTCCTCCTCCTCCTCTTCCTCGTTTCTCCTCCTCTCGTCCTCCTCTCTCCTCCTCCTCCTCCCTCTCGTCCCCCCCCTTCTCTCTCGTCCTCCCCCGTCTCCTCCTCTCCTCCTCCTCCTCCTCCTCGTCGTCCTCCTCCTCCTCCTCCTCCTCGTCCTCCTCCTCCTCCTCTTTCTCCTCCTCCTCTCCTCCCTCCTCGTCCTCCTCTCCATCCTCCTCCTCCTCCTCTCCTCCTCATCCTCCTCCTCCTCCTCCTCCTCGTCCTCCTCGTCCTCCTGCTCGTTCTCTTCCTCCACCTCCTCTTGGTCCTCGTTCTTCTCCTCCTCCGCCTCCTCCTCCTCCTCCTCCTCCTCCCTATCCGAGCGTTCGGTTGTAGCTCGCGCAGCCAAGCCGAGGGGCTGTGCAGCGAGGCGCTTCGGCTGGCCGCTGAGCGGGCCAGTCGGCCAGCCGCTGTGAAGGCTGGCAACGAGGGGTGACTTAGTGGACATCCCTCCTCTCCTCCTTCTTCTGAGGGTGTGCACGGCCTGGAGGCGCAGAGTCGTGCCGATAACACTCTTGGCAGAAAAGAAGGACTACCTCGTCTGACATTTCGAGTCACGGGCAGGTACTTCGTTAGTCGCCAAGCGGGCGGCACAGGTTGGGGGCCAGGCCTGCAGACTGGGCGACGGGGGCGGGAGGAGGAAAAGGAGGAGGAGGAGGAGGGGCTGAATGCAAGAGGATTCTAGCGTGCGCATAGCCGTATGCAGCACGCATACCGGGCGCAGTCACTCGACGAACTGCGCATCAGTGGAAAGACATGACGTCAACGATTACCTTCAACAAAAAAACCCTCGATGCAACCGCCGTTCGGTCGGGTCAAGGGGCAGCACAGCTACAAAATAGCAGGGAAACAAGGTGGATGAGCGAGCCAGCAAAGCAATGTCTTCGATACTTTCGCTCGCGAGCAGGAAGGAGAAAGAAGAGAGAAAGAGATGACGATGATGATGGCAGAGGGGAAAGGAGGAAGAGGAAGGGGAGGACAGCACGAACAGCCAGGCCCATGGCCACTGGCGCTCTCGTGGAAGGCCAGGTGGCCAAGACAACTCACCCGACAGAGCGGGCGCCAGAGGCCTTCTACACAAGGCCCCGCGGCAGGAGCGGAGGGGGCGTTGCACGAGCTCGCGAGCGTGCTCGTCCAGTGTTGCACTTCGCCCGGCGCTCCCACCCTCAAAACACGGAGCAGGCGAATCGCTCAACTCTCACCACCCATCGAGCATCAGAGATGCACCTCCGATGCGGCGCGATCCTCCGACCCCCACCTCTCCCTGGGAACAAATCGTGACGGGGGCGGCGCGGGAGGCGCCGCCAGGGGGCTCTCCAGCGCCGATCCAAGAGATCCGCACGGGCCTCCGAAAACTTCTGCACATGGCACTGCTGCTGCTCCTCGCTGCTCGGGCCCTTGGCATCGCTCGGGCGTGGGCACGCCTCTCGGCGAGGCCAGCGCCAGAGAGCGCCCGGGCCACCTCGGAGCATCCCGGAGGCCATCCCGAGAACCACGCGCAGAGCCAGGCACAGCCGCAGACACGGTACCGAGCAGTGCCACGGGGCATGGGCGCCCCAGCGATGGCAGCGGCCCCATGCTGGAGGCCTGCACCGCCCGCCAACGGTCAGCCCGCCGCCGGCGTCCGACCCGCCGGGGCGCGCCTCCGCAGCCCCGGCCCGGGGCGCTGGGGCCCCGCGCCGAGCGCGGGGAGCGACGTGGACCGCAGCGGGGGCCGCTGTGCACCTCGGGGGCCGCCGAGCACCCCGCCCGAAGGGAGGAGCCTGAGGTCCCCGTGCAGTGATCGCTGTGACTTGCGGCAGTCGCACGGTGGCTGCAACCCACTGGCGAGGCGCCTGCAGGTGGGTCGCAAGTCCGCCCAGCTGCTCCGATCTGGAGGCCCAAGACGACCTGCGGCTGGCCCGGGGCCCCAGACGACCTGCGCTTGGCGCTGGGCAGAGTGCAGCACCGACCTCCGAAAAGCACGCGATCCCTGTGAGGCGATCCCCCCCGCGAGGGCCCCTCCTGTGCACGCTACCCTCCTGCCAGGGCTTCTTCGGTGCACGCCATCTCCAAAATAGGCGGGGCCGGCGGCGTCACGTCGCACGCTGCCTTTGCAACGCTAGCCGCAAGCGCAACACAAACAAGCGAACGACACACCGAGCCCCTGCTAGCCCTGCCGCTGCTACGCCCTCTCCCAGCCACGCTTTAGGAGAGCCCAGGATCGAATCGGTACGTCGGGTCGGCGATCGAGATGAATCGGATCGGCGAAAATCGGTAGCCACGTCGGGAGAAGTCGAATCGACCGAGATCGGCGGCCTAGTAGGCCCCTATCGCAGAATCGGCATCCGAATCGGTATCCGAAGTCGAATCGAATCGGAATCGGAGGCCACCGACATCGAATCGAATCGAATCGGAAGAACCGAAATGCGCCCTCACACCCCCGTTGTCGGTGCCAACTCTCCCGCGCGCCGCGCCGCGGAGTGCAGCGTACGTCTTTCGGCCACTCCGGCCTCCGACGGCCGCCTACTCGGCCCCCGGGGCCCTCAAGACCACGATCGGGGGCAGGAAGCCGATGCTAAGAGGAGGAGGAGGAGGAGGAGGAGGAGGAGGAGGAGGAGGAGGAGGAGGAGGAGGAGCAGGAGGAGGAGGAGGAGGAGGGGGAGAAGGACAAGCTAGGTGCGCTCGCGTCATATCTGACGTCCTACCCCTCCCTCCCATCCCTTATCATGGCGCTGATTTTCTCTATCCGCGGACGCGTGTCGTAGCGGACCTGTGGCTCCGCGCGCGCGTGCGTAGTGGGTGGTGGTGCACGTGCGTGCGTGCGTGCGTGTGCGCGTGGTTGTCGTGGTGGTGGTGGTGGTGGTGGTGGTGGTGGTGGTGGTGGTGGTGGTGGTGGTGGTGGTGGTGGTGGTGGTGGTGGTGGTGTGGTCGTTGGTGGTGTTGGTACTGGTGCTGGTGCTGGTGGTGGTTGTGGTGGTGGTGGTGGTGGTGGTGGTGGCGGTGGTGCGGCGCGGTGGTGGCGGGCGGATGGGCGCGCGAGAAAAAGGCCCGCGCTGGGGCGAGAACGCCATCCTGAACGACGGAGGCCAAACACCGATCCGAAAATGAGGCCCACGCTGCAGCGGGAGCACGATTCGGAACGATTCGGGAGCAGAAATGAGGCCGGCGCCTCAACGAGAGCAGCATTTTGGGAAAAAATGACGCCGGCGCCTCAGCGAGAGTCGTTTCCCGGGATTTCCCGGGGATCCTGTGTGTTAAAAAAACAGTACGCGGAGGGTGCGCGGCCATCACCCGGACGCCATCAGGGAAGAGGGAGAGTATTTTCATATTGAGTAATTGCGGAGGGGGGAGGAGGAGGAGGAAGGAGGAGGAAGGAGGAGGAGAGAGCGGGAGGAGGAGGGAGGAGAGGAGGAGGAGGAGGAGGAAGGAGGAGGAGGAGGAGAAGGAGGGGGAGGAGGGGGAGGAGGAGGAGGAGGGAGGAGATGGGGCCGAGATCTCCCAGGCCCACACCTTACAGAAATCTAGAAGCCAGGACTCTCGCGCCTGCGGCCGTGGGGCGGAGCATCCCCCGCTGCTCGTGCTCTCGCCATGGGTTTGGCCAGGAGTCCTGGTCTCCGGTAGTCCCCAAACGCAGTGGTGAGAACACCCGGCGGTGAGTCTCGGGCGATTTGGTGTCCCCACCCAGTTTGGGTACTCGCGTGTGGAGGATGTCCGGAACGCTGTAGGTCTAAGAGTCACAAGACCCTGGCGGTGTTCCAAAACCTGGCGGTGACTTTTGGGGGATTCCATGTCACCACCTGATATCTCAGCACCTGGGTTGGGTGCTCTCAACTGTCTGCAGTGGGGTGTCCTGGCCTCTGGGGCCCTGACATCGCACGGAAGTCAACGCGCGGGAGGTCTGGGTCCGAAATCGCACAGCCACCCACGATCCCGCGGCGGCCGTCCGGCCGACACAAGAGCACGCGATCACGGGTGCTGTACGAATCAGGAGTCCCTCCCTCCTTCCCTCCTCCCTCCTCCCTCCCTCCCTCCCTTCCTCCCTCTCCTCCTCCTGCTCCTGCTCCTCCTCCTCCTCCTCCTCCTCCTCCTCCTCCTCCTCCTCCTCCTTCCTCCTCCTCCCTCCCTCACCTTCCTCCTCCCTCCCCCTCCCCTCCCTCCCTCCCCCCCTCCTCCTCTCCCTCCCTCCTCCCTCCCTCCCTCCTCCTCCGTCCCTCCCTTCCTCCCTCTCCTCTCTCTCCTCCCTCCCTCCCTCCTTCCTCCTCCATCTCTGGTGAGACCAGGTGAGAGAAAAGGGGGAATGGTATGGTCATGGGAGGTGCGACAGACGAGGGGGGCAATGGGTACGGAACGCGCCCGTGTGTGTGTGTGTGTGTGTGTCGGGATTCGGCCCGCTTCGAACCTTGGTTGGCTTCACCACCCAATTGCCAATCAACCATCCTGAGCCGCAATTTGCGCGCCTTGACGTCTGCCCGGTCTATCTTGACGAGGTGCTCGGGCTTGACCACTGCCACCTAGGCGACTACCGTGATATGCGATGTCTGCTACTTCAATTTCTCCTCCTCGTGGTCTTTCTTCTTCTTCTTCTCGTCGTCGTCGTCGTTCTCCTCCTCCTCCTTTGCCTCTTTTTCCTGCTCCTGCTGCTGCTCCTTGATGTCTGCTCCTCTTCTACTGCTGCTCTGGCTTGTGCTGCTGCTGTCGGCGCTGCGCTCTTCTACCTGCCATGGTCTGCATACGACGCCTTCGAACTCCATTCTCTAGGCCGACGAGCTATAGGCATCCTTGAGATTGCAAATTACAGGGGACATGCAAATAACTAATGATTCCTTCTTTCAAGAGACGTGCCGGCTTGGAGTTCCAAGCGCCAAAGTGTGACACGTATGGAATCCGTCGCTGGCAGAGCAGGCCACAAACGAGATATCCCTTTCTAGCACAGGTGCCGAATCGCCTTCTTGTCGAGAGTGCTCTCTTAGGGCCATCTTGAAGCTATCTTGGGGCCTTCTGGGACGCTCTAGGGCCCTCTTGGAACCTTAGGATCATTGGATGGCCCGAGGGCGAGCGCAAATGCTGGGGAACAACAGTGCACGTCGAAACCATACCTACCCTGAACCACTTATTGACCCGGTGATTTGCATGTTCCGCTGTGACTCCCGCTCTTCGGGCACAAGCGGATCCGCCACTGTGCCGCGAGGCACGAAGTGGCGTATCTTCAGGTCCCTTCGAATTTTTTGCTGAATAAGTATGTGTGTATGTGTGTACATGAACAGATGTGTAATGGAACTCCTCTTTGGGGGGCCTGGGCCCTTGATATCTGAGCGATGTAGTGCGCTTCTGGGAATCTCCGCGTGAGTTTTCCCGAGGCCTCGGAGGTGTGATTTAGTGCCCGCATTTGATAGCCACGTGTCCTACGATACTGTGGCCCCGAGGGACAGCTTCTTCCAAGCCCCCAAGACGGGGCCCGTGCGGCCCCCCAGACTCGGCGGCGAGCTATGGGGGGAGGCGAGACAGAGAATGCCTTCTCAGAGGGCGGCGGGGCCTCTCGGAAGGCCCCCGGGCCTTCTGAGAGGCCTCGCATGTCCTCGGGGAAGGTGTGGAAACCTTCTCAGGAGGCCAGGGGTTCCCGAAGCTTCTGAGAAGGCCTGCCCACTCCTCCTCCTCCTCCTCCTCCTCCTCCGACGGGTGGCCGCAAGAGGTGCTTCCGAGGGGGAGGCCCGAGCGGCCTCGGCCTCCGAGGGCCCTTTGCAGCCGCCTCTGGCGGGCGCGGCTCGGCGGCCGCCGCCCGCGCGGGGGCGAGGCTGCGAAGGCCCACGGGCCGAGCGAAGTCCTCGGAGGATCGACGAGGAGGCGAACCTATGTTGAGGATAGACGAGGAGACGAGGGCGCGCTACGATCTATGACGTGGGGGCGAACCTGTGCTTGTCAGGCGTTAGCGAGTGAGGCGCTTTGCGAGTAGGGGCACGCGCCCGGTGACAGAAAAGGAGGCGCTCGTTTCCGTCGCGGCGCGGCGGGGGCAATCCGCTCGCGCGCTCGAGTTGCTGGGGGCGCACGGCGTACGAATTGACCGACGGCAAAAGCAGAGGAGGCGGGGAGGGGCGGCCGCAGAAAACGGGCGGCGAAAGAACAGGCACAGATGGGCGACGCAACGACACGGGTCGTATGCGATATGGCATCGCGGCCTTGCGCCGCGGTTTACGCGGGCCGCCAGCGCGGCTTTAAATTTGAAGCCCTCCACCCCAAGATGGCCCTTGAGACCGCCAGCAGGCCCGCAAAAGCCTCCAAGATACCCCCAGACGGCCCCCCAAAGAGGCTCCCCAAAGGCTAGCAAGACGGCCACAAGATGCCTCTCCAGAGGACCCAAGAGGCATCCAAGAGGTCGCTTGACAATGACCCAGGCACAATTGCTAGATGGGCCGAAGGCGACTAGATAATCGGTGGCGCGAATAAAGCACAACACAACTGGCGGGAACAACAAGTCAAGACGAAACAACAATCGCCCGTTCACGTTGAACATATGTTTTGGACTCGTGCCAATGGTAACGCACGGTGGTTTCGCACAACAATGTATGGAAGCGTTGTGCGAATCCCACAGCGGAAAGACGGACTCCGAAGCAGACCACAAGACACGAGTGAATACTTTTGGACACAGCAGAGGGGTGTTTCACGCAGGCTGCCTCTTGTCCCAGTCCGCAGCTCCCTGCTCCTCCTCTCTCTCCCCGCATTTGCGCCAGCAGCTGCCACCGTGCCGCAGGCACTGAGTGCGGAGCGTCTGCACGCTCTTTAAAAGATGCTCCTGGAATTGCCGCGCCAAAGACCCAAGCCCAGATCTCACGGTTCTGTCGGGCACTCCTGGGCGATTCTGGGGCTCCCCGCATGACTTGCTCCCAAGGGCCTCGGGAGCGTGGCTGAGGCCACCAAGAGGGATCCCATCGGCCCCCTCGAATGGCTGATATGTGTAGCCCTCCCCAAAGATGACAGCTTCTGGACCAGGACCCAGGCGCGCTGGTGGGATGGGCCGAGGGCAACAATATCGCCCCAAGACGGCCAACGAAAGGGCCGCAAGAGAGCCTCCAGCGGGCTCCAAGATGTCCAGCAGAGCCCCGCTCCTGCCCCACACTCCTCAGATGGCCTCGAGGGACGGCCAGGCAGCGCCCCGAGACGGCCCTCGAGTGACCCAGGAGACCACCAAGAGAGCCCAAGAGGGCCCCGAACGAGCCCCATGACAGCCCCACAATCGCTCCGAGAACACCTAAGAGACGCAGAATTCAACCGCAGCCGCGCAAGCTTTACATGCGCACCTCATCGGCCACGCGTGCCTTGCGTCTCCAGAAGGGGCATGGGGCGGCAGTGAGCCGCCGTCAGCGCCCCGGATGGGACTGGCACGTGGATCCTAAGCTGCCGAATCAACGGGAAGCGTGTGGAGGCATGCGGGAACCAGTGGGAGCAGTCGGAGGCACACGAGGCAAGTGGAAACACGTGAAAACAGATGCGTGTGGGCACGCATTCTCGACGTCGACGCTGTTCGCAAAAAGGCGAAGGTGGGGGGCACGAGAGTGTCGTGCCACCACGGGGCCCCATAGCCGGCCACCTTCCGCGCGGCTCCCCCAAAGGCCGATCGAGGTTGCGGCCAGCGCCCATATGCAGCACACATGACATTCGCGACATCGCACGCCACCGACGCCGAAGACATCATGATCGTGGTAACGCAACATGTGGAACTACATCCGATGACGAGACAGACCAGTCACGGCCACTCCCGGCCAATGCATGATAGTTCCTGTGAGTCCACGTCGGGCCCCTCAGTGGAGGCAGTTCTTGGATAATGAAACGGCGCCTCCTCCCAATCTGCGAGGACTGAGCTAAAGCCGTCAAGCGAATGCACAACGCCTGCCACCCCGTCGAGCTAATCGGACGCCACACGTCGCGACGCTCTGGAGCAGGAGGAGACGGAGGAGACGCTGATGATGGAGCAGACCCCCGAAGAGACGGCGACGGCAGCAGCAGCGACTCGAGAGGACGCCTGGTTGTCGCTGTAGAACTTGACCTCGATATGCCCAGGCTCCCAAACCTTGCCGAGAACGACGCAGAAGTCGGAATCGCCACGGTTGCTGACATGCTCCTCCTTCGGGCCCAGAGCAGTGGGGCTGGAGCGTGGTCCCTCTCCTCCTGCTCCTCCTCCTGCTCCTCTTCCTCTTCCATCCCATCCTTCCTCCTTCCTCCTTCCTCCTCCTCCTTCCTCCTCCTCCTCCTCTTCCTCCTCTTCCTCTTCCTCTCCCACCCCTCTCCTTATAAATGGATCCTCCCCGTCGCACCCCGAGGCGGGTCGAAAGGGCGGGTCGGGCGTTTCACCTGAGGCTTCCTCACCGCTGGGGATCCTGAAGGAACAGGATTGCACTGGGTGCACGGGCAGAGGGCGGCCGGCTCTCCACATGTCACTCTCGCCCCCGCGACGCACAGATTCGCGATGGAAGCTTGCCAGAGTCTCGCGGATGGAGCGCGGCCCGCTTGCAAACGGTGGCCCTCGCCGCAGCGCCGCGCATCGCCGCTCTAAACCTTCGCCGAGGAATTGCAGGGACGGGAGGCGGCCCGTGGTCAGCACGTGGCCTCTCGCCTCGGCGCCGCGCGCCTCCCTTTCGGAGAGCTCGCGAGCCATCAACGGGTGGAGGGCGGCCCGTGTTCAAAGATGGGGCTCTCGCCTTTTGCGCCGCACGCCCTCGTCTCAAACAAGTTGGTGGTAGGAGTGCAAGGGTGGACGGCGGTTCCTTCTGAACATGGGGCTCTCGCCTCAGCGCCGCGCACATTCGTCTCAATCGTTTGCAGCAGTTTCACGGGTTCTCTGGATTCACGTCCCAGACACAGTGTTTCTGCACGACGTCGGGATGCCAAGGCGAAACAGCCACTTTGGTTCGCGGTGTTGAATCCTGGGAATGGCGTTCTGGAGCGATTCAGGAGCGTCCAGACGCAACGGTAACAATGAGCGGCGCGGCGTTGATGTCCAAAACATGGGGTTCTGGCGCAATTCCGGATTTTCAAACGGCTGTCTTCCAACGGGGTACTTCCCTGAGTCAAACATGAATCCGTGTAGGGGCCCATGTAGAGGGAACTTGGAGGGAAGGCCTCTTGCAACGTCATGGATGAATCTTGCGTTTGCACTGGTCCTCCTCCTCCTCCTCCTCCTCCTCCTCCTCCTCCTCCTCCTCCTCCTCCTCCTCCTCCTCCTCCTCCCCCTCCCGTGGCCTCTCCCGCTCCTCTCGCCCCCTTCCCCGCTCCTGCCGTCCCGGCTCGTTCTCGGGACGCGCTGCGGCGCCGCGTGCGGTGTGCTCCTCCGGGAGACCCTTCGCTCCGCCGACCGAGGCGACCCGGGCGACTGGCCGGGGCTCACAGTGCACTCCGCGGGTCGCTCTCGCCAGCGAGCGCACGCCCCTCCGCTGGGCACGATCGCCGCGAGGGCGCCGTCCGCCCCGCCGCCCGCTCGCGCGGGGGACGTGGGCTCGGCCGGCCTCTCGGGCGGGAGACAAGCACAAGAAACAGACGTGCATGCGGGTCCACCTCCTTCCTCCTCCCGGCCCCCTCCTCTCCTCGGATGGACGTCCGGACGGCCAGTATCGCGCGCGTTAACGTCGAGTCCATCTCCAGACCAGCATTGTGTTAACGTCGAGCCCACCACCAGCCCGTCCTGTGCCGGGTAGTGTATGCGTGAGCTCACATCATAATGAGCAAAACTGGACGAAGGAAAGCTACCATCAGGTATACCTCTAGATCTACCCAAAGCATTCGATACCCCAGACCATGCTATCTTATGAAAGAAGCCCGAAGGGCAGGCCATCTGCGAGTGCCCCCCCCGTGGACTTCCCATATGCAGGGCCCTGGGACACACAAATCAATACGCACACAAAAATAACCGGATCCCCCCTACTTTCCATATTTGGAGGGTTTTGGTCTTCGCCCCCCCCCACTTCCCATATCTTCCTATCTATTTTTTCTGGGGGATCGACGATCAATTGTGTCTGTGTTTTTTTCCCTCCTGACCACAGTGCGTCGGGGCGCGGGCTGGGCGAGCCCTGGGGCCGCGACGGGGCGGTGCCCCCTCCTCCTCGGGGCGGTGCCCCCTCCTCCTCCTCCTCCTCCTCCTCCTCCTCCTCCTCCTCCTCTCCTCCTCCTCCTCCTCCTCCTCCCCTCCTCCCTCCTCCTCCTCCTCCTCCTCCTCCTCCTCCTCTTCTCCTCTTCTCCTCTCCTCCTTCTCCTCCTCCTCCTCCTCCTCCTCCTTCCCTCCTCCTCCTTCTTCTTCTCCTCCTCCTCCTCCTTCTCCTCCACCTCCTCCTCCTCCTCCTC